TGTTCAATAAAATATTTAAAACCTCACAAGACTGGAAATACTACAGTAAATTAATAATTTAGGAATTTTTTTCAAGATGAGTTGTAAATTCTCTTCCTGAACCAATGGCATGACATTTAAAAAGCATTACTCTCAAATACAAGATGCATCTGGACAAGTATGCCTGCAGTTCCGTGTCTATTTGTAATTTATGTGCAGTACTGCTGAAAGACACTTCAAATACAAAAATAAGAAGTTTTTCAGGCCAAATCTCCTCAATTTCAGTCATATTATCAATTCTGCTTTGAACTGTAAAGTTCCTTTTCAGAACAGAAATGGAAACATGAATGTATGTTTCATCTTGCACATTTTGCAAGGTCTGTTAAAACATTAAAAATATCCGAGTTTCCAATAAAGCCCTAACAACCTTAAAAAAAAAAAAAATCAGTGCTAATTAATGCTGATTTAACTCAAATGCTTTAGAAAGACAGGTATAATGAATTAGTAAAGGTTTAGACTTAGGTTTTTTGTGGTTTCCTTTTTTTTTTTTTTGTATTATTATTATTCTTGAAGCAGCTTTCTGAATGCATTATTCCAAGTAATAGAAAGCAATGAATACAGTGAGACTTCACCTCATGCTACCAGATTTGTATTTAATAGCCACTTTTCACACCTGGAATCATGAAGATCCAAACCTGCAGTCCTGAACAAAACCAGACCCAGGAGTTCTGCTCACAGTAGATTTTGTTTCTTGGTGTCATCTGCATCTCTCTTGTCATAATAATCATCAGAAAGGCCAAAGGATATTGAAACTCATGTCCCTGTGGATCCGGTCTCTATTCCTGTCCATATGGAAAGCATCCCTTGTAGAATTCTAGTTAATGTTACAGATTCTCTACATGTTATTATATGGACAAAGCCTTTCACTTTTTGTTAACAAAATTCTCACACACCTTTCACCCTGTAGCAACCACGATAACTCACTGTACTGATATAACTTTGGTGGCTTAATATGCTTAGCTGCAGTAACACATTTTGTAAAAGTTTATGCTAAAGTCTAAAACTGTAAGATAAAATTAAAAACGGTGATTCATCCTTCATCTCTAAATCCTACCAAGCCCAGGGTAGCCCCTCCCTCCCACACTGCCCTTCCTCCATTTCAACACTTCCTACTCTATCTGAAAAGATTGCCTATCTTCCTCTACGGATGTATCTCATTATCACATCTGCTTTTTCACGAGCTTCTGTGTTGCGTTGACCTCATCTGAAAGTTGCTTCTTCGCATTTTCAGTAATTAAAAAAAAAAAAAAATCAAGTTTGGTAGTTTCTCTTACATTCCATTTTACACTCCTGTTCTGAAGCTACAGTATATCTTCACTTCATGCCCCCAGTGATACCTGATAGTTTGTACTGGGAGAGTACCTAGATATCTCATATGAACAGCTCTACTGGCTCAGATGAAAGGTCCATTTAAGCCCAGTATCCTGTTTCTACCACCGACCAAAAGAAGACAGACACAGAAGCATAAAATTTTTAAAAGAATATATAGCTTCCCCATGTCCTTTCCAGCTCTGGGACTTCCTGAACCCAATGTTTATATATTAGAAAAACAGAGAAAGGCTCTGGAAAGGTTCTATAATTTCAGCCTTCCTCACATCGCAGAACTCTAAAGAATTGTTACTGAGGCAGGAACTCCTAGACAGCAATCGTGTCCAGGGGCAACAAGACTATTTCTGTCACCTTTCATGAACCCTTCAGAAGTATTCCATGCTCTCCCAAGAACCTCAGAAAAATCAAAAGCTGAAAACCATGAACCTCCACATGGGATACATGAAGCATCTTTGTTTTACTGTGAGGTTAAGAATGAAGTAAAACTAAACTTGGAATAGAACTCAAGTTTTCACACTGACTGCTCATGATCATATTGATGCAGTAAGATTCTCATCAAATGCTTCCCATATATTTGGGAGAGAACTTTGCAGTATATTGCTAGCTGTCTCCATTGTTTCCACTGGAAGGTTTGTTTCAGCCCACCTATCTCAATGCATCATACTGCATCATTCAATTAAGTGAACCATTTAATATTCAAAATGACTTTTTAACACATTTTTGCTTAGTGCATGTATAGAGTCATACTTAAAAGAAAGAAAAAAAAAAAAGCCTGTAACTTCTCTTGAACTCACAGTTGTTTTTTTTTTCCTGTTTATTCTTTGCATTCACTAAGAAAAAAGTATTTGTTCATGTGAGCCTTCAGAGAAATGTGAACCATAATTTAAAGCATCATGACCAGCAACCTACTTCAGCAGAATTCCTTGACATCATAGACTTGTGTAGTGCCTACCATGAAAAACCTATCACACACAGAAAAATACCAAACACTGAGATAATTCAACTGATCTTGAAAATGATCTTAAGCTCACACAGTGAGCCTAATATTTTCTAAAGAAACATAACAGATTTTACAATCTTTCAAAAATTTTTTGAATTAAAGTTAATGTCTTCATCTGCCTAGTTATAGTAGTTAACACTTCAATAGATGTTGAAATAAACAAATATATGTTTTTATTCTGTTGATGTCCCTAACTATGGAGCCATTTTATCAGATCATTTTACAGGGTTCAGTAAGGGAATGGTGGTAGAAGATTTTAAGAATAAAATGCTTATTCTGAAGATAGCAATTACCTGCATTAGTAATTGTATCTTCATTACAGGCTTTTATTATTTTGCCTGTACAGCTTCTGAAGAACAGTATAAGAAACCAGTAAGCCCTAAGTTCAGTCTTATTTGCACTCACAGTTATTTTACTAGTGATGCATCGGAACAATCATGTTTAACATTTATTTTCATTTTATGGCAACAAAGTAAGAGTGACACAGGGATGCAATTTTGTATCTGAATGTTTAACTATTTGGAATACTACAGAATTCTGGAACTTCAGTAATTGTCACATAGATATTCTTCACACTTCAGAAAAAAAAAACAGCAGCATTCACTCCAAATTGTACATGCCTATTGAAGCTACATACCTAGACATGTGTATTCAGATTTTTTAACATGTGCATTTTTCTGTCAGTTTTGTAAAGAACTGTGTTGTTCTAAAAACTTTACTGGAATCTTTGCCAGTTTACTACAGAAATTACTTCAGCATAACAAAGTACATGAATAATATTGTTACCAAACTTGAGAATAGTCTTCTTAGGTCAAGAAATAGGACAAATTAACCTTAACTTCACATACTAAGTTCCTTTATATTCTTTTAATCAGTAGGTGGTGTTGAATTTCATCTCCCATTCCTCCCTATTTCTACCTTTTTAAAATGTATCAACTCTAAGAGTATCCGGGATTCCTGAAAAAATGGTAACACCAGTCCTAACTCTGGTAGAAAACTTGCTTTATCTACTTGGAATAAAACCTGGTATTCTCCCAGTGAATAACAAAAGCATGCTCAGTAAGCTGATGAAAAATACCTGGTCCTTCTCTTCAGGCACCAAGAGCTATCCACTCAAGGAAGACACAAATTTTTAAGTCACTTCCATTATATTCTTTTTCTGTCATGAAGTATTGTTTCCAAAGAGAAAGGATAGTTAAAAAATGTTTGAGTTGAAAGTATATCCTCTTACAGGGTTAGTCATTTTCCATTTTCCATTGCCTTTTAGGATATAGAGACCACCCATTCATTTCTTTCTTCCACCACTTTAAATCCTAACTCTGAAACCCACTAGCTGAGCTTTACGTTTCTAAGAGGATTTTCCTAACGCTGGCTTTGCCTGCGCACAGGGGAAGTCTACAGTGATTTTCCACTGGGTGCTAGACCAGACTTTTTTCTCCAGCCTATTTCATCCCTCGTACACGGTGATCTATAGCGCGTAGATACCTCAGGGCACGAACAGCGTAATTTACAGGCATTGTTTTTAGGCATTGCCTCATAAATACAACACCGTGGCCGTACGGTTTCCACTTCAGCGGGTACCCGAGGAGGTCGGCCCGATGCTCTCCGGCCGCTTGCCGCAGCCCGGCGGGCGCGCCCACCCCGCCTGCCGACCGCCTCGCACGGCGCCCGGCAGACGCCCCGCAGCCCGGCCCGGGCTCCACCGGCCCATCGCCCCGCAGCCCGGCCCGGGCTCCACCGGCCCATCGCCCCGCAGCCCGGCCCGGGCTCCACCGGCCCATCGCCCCGCAGCCCGGCCCGGGCTCCACCGGCCCATCGCCCCGCAGCCCGGCCCGGGCTCCACCGGCCCATCGCCCCGCAGCCCGGCCCGGGCTCCACCGGCCCATCGCCCCGCAGCCCGGCCCGGGCTCCACCGGCCCATCGCCCCGCAGCCCGGCCCGGGCTCCACCGGCCCATCGCCCCGCAGCCCGGCCCGGGCTCCACCGGCCCATCGCCCCGCAGCCCGGCCCGGGCAGGCCGCGCACCGCCCGCGGCCCCCGCCCGGCCCCCCGGGAGCGCGGCGGCCCGGCCGCTCACACGGCTGCCGCTGGCGGCGGCCATCACCGTGCCAACCCGCCCCGCGGGCCGAGCCGCCCTGGACTTTGAAATCGGCCGGAGACACCGCCCGCCACGCTCCTATCCCCTCTTCGTGGAAGCCGGACCCTCCCCGCTTTCCCCGCCGCCGGAGCGGCTCTCCCCCTCTTACCGGAGCAGCCGGGAGGACGCACCGGGCGCAGAGCCCGGAGCTAAGCCGGGCGGCGGCCAGCTCCACGGCTCGCACCGATGGCGAACCCCAGCCTCCGCGGACAGCGACCCTCGTGGGCGAGCGGGCGGACAGCGCTCCCCTGCACGGGACGCAGTGGTACAAAAGGCCGCCGACGCGGAGAAAGACGCGCAGCCACGGCCTCGCCAGCGCCTCGGCGCACAGACAGACGGACGCGCCCCCCGACCGCGACTGCGGCACCACCGGCCTCGGGACGCGCCCCGCACAAAGATGGCCGCGCGGAGCTTCTCCGCCACTCACGTGAGCGCCGCCCCGCACAAAGATGGCGGCGCCAGGCTCTTACCCCATCCCGCCCGGTCGGCCGCAGAAGGCGGCTGCCCTGTGCAAAGATGGCTGACGCGGACTCCTGACGGCGCGGGTCGCCCTCACGTGGCAGCGACAGGGGCCGCCTCATGGGCGACCTCGGCCGCTTCTCGCTGGCCCGGAAGTGGATTTGCTCCCGGGCTCCTAGCAGCCTCCGCGGGGAGGGAGCCGCGGTCGCGCCCCGTAGCGTCTGCCCCGGCGCTCGGCAGGTAACTGAGAGCGACACCCGGCCCGGGCCCAGGGAGCGGCATGCCTACCTCGGCCTGCGCGGCTGCGGGGACAGGGGCTGCGGTTCGCGGGGAGCCGGTACCCCGGCTCCGTCCCTTGACCGCCCGAGGCGCCGCAAGGCTCGGGCACCCGCGACCGCGGTGCCGGGACTGCTCTGCCTGGGTAGAGCTCGGCAGGGCCGGGCGGAGGTGGCTTCTGCCCCCGACGGGGACGGACCCCTCTGCCGAGGCCGGGGGAGCCCCTCTCCGCGCCCCGCGGCGGGGAGAGGCGCCTGTCCTGAGGAAACGCCTCCGGGGCAGCACGGCCCGGCCGGGGGCGTCGGCGGGTGGGGACGGAGCCGGGGGTTAAAGCTGACCGCTCCCGCGGCCTGCGGGCCCGCCCTTTTCTGGCACCTCGCTCCCTGCCACTGTTGCGGTCCTGAATGTCATGGACTTCGCCTTGTGCTTAACGTTAGGGTGTGAGGGGGGGTGTTCCTTTTATTGGGGGAGATGACGTCAGCCTGTAGTATTTATTTCTCATCGTGTGTCTGCAAAAAAATTGAAGGTCTGAGTGAGGTAAACTTTTTCTGGCTGCTTTGAAATCTTTTAACTCTTTTTAGCGGGCAAACATACTCTTCCGACAGTAGTGATCTCAGAAACAAGGTTGTTGCCATGTATGGTTGGGAGGATATAATAAGTGAACTGCCAGCTAGTAAGAGCAGACCGAGTGCTCTGTAGGTCCTGGTTATGCACATACTGGTCTCTGAACAGAGCAGTTGGAAGGAGTGGGGCCTAAGCTGAGCCAGCAAATCTGCTGTCTTCTCATTTAAGCACAAGTCTTACCTCAACGCAGAAATATCAATCACACAAGTCCTGTACCTGGTATAGAAGACATTTGAACTTGTAGAAGAAAGCTGTCCTGGGCTTCTATTTCATAATTTAGTGTGTATCCTTCATTTGACAGAGACCATCTGTGACTGTTTTCAAGGTAGTTCCACTTAATGAGGTTATGGGAGAGAAGGAGCCATGTCAGAAGAAGCTGTTACTGAGGCACGATTTTCTCTGAAGACGGTAGCTTTACGGGTATTTAATCTTCCCCTTTCTTGGTATTATTCTCTTAACCAGGTAATATATACGTTATCTGAATATTGTCACTCTTGATATATTTAATTGCAATGTTGTACTTCTGCTTCTGAGTTTAATACGAGTTAAATTTGTACAGAATACCTTGATTTTTTTTTTTTTTTTTTAGTGCATTTAAAATACTGACCTAAAATAAGTGGGGTTTTTTTGACTGCTAATAAACGCTTAGTGCATCATCATAAATCTGACTAAAGAGATTGCTTTATCTGCGATGTCTATATGTCTTCATATTGCAACAGCACAGTGATTTTCATCAAATCAAATATCAAAATCGTCAAGTGGTTTCTTTTGGTAGAAATTGTTAGGTATATAAAAACTAAACATAACTAATTACATTTTGAATAATAGTATTGTGTGTGAGCTGAAATACTTTTTAGGTTGCCAGTACCATTCCCCAAATTAACCTATATGATAATTCATTAATTGAAATAAAAAATCCTTGTTCTAATTTTTGAGTCATTTCTGTTTGATTAAGTAGCACATAGCTAAAACAAGGCAGTGATTCTTTAAAAGCAGGCGTTTTTTTAAACCAGTTCATTTTGCTGGTTTTGTTTGTTTTACTTGCGGAAAGATCTTCAAAGAAAATCTTAAGGCTCTATTCATCACAGTATTTCCTTTTACAGATGGCCCTGGAGTGATTTATTTTCTTTCATTGATATTATAGGCAAGTTTTCACTAGCAACATGGATAGTGGTCACTCAAATCTGGCTGAAGAATACATTATGATCTTAGTTTTCAGGTTGACAAAAGCTGCAAATGTTGTGAAGCTGATGCTCCTTGTCTGCAGGGAACCATAAGATTTGTCCCTAGAGCACCTTCATGTCAAAGACGGGGAAGAGAAGCAGTATTTATGCTGTAGAGATTCAGAGAAGAGAAGTGTTAGTTGCCTATAACTACATATGTGATAAATGATAGAGTGAAATAAATCAGAATTACTTGAGAAAATATTAAGGCTTCAGTTATATCCATCAGAGAATAAATTTCTTGAAGAGTGAGACATATTCTGATGCCATAATACACAGGAGAAAGAAAAGAGCTTCTAGTTGACTGTACAAAATATGGTCCAGTATTTTTTTTTTTCATTACGTGTATGCTGAATCATTGACTAATAACTAAAGGATAACTATTAACTAAGGATAACTACCAACAAAAAAAAAGTTTATAATTAGTAATGCCAATAATATTTTTTTATAAAATAGGTATTACCAGGTCCTAATAAAGTTCTGCTTTTAAAACCCATGTCTTTAATATGTCTGTATTTTATTTTTATTGAATTAGATGCTTGTAAGCAAATGCTATGTCTTTTTTCATATTTCCATGTAAATGCTTTTCAAAGTTTTACTGCATAAAAAAGCAGAATGAGAGATTTTCAGTCGTAGCTGCATCTGATTATTTTCACATTTTTTTCTGTGTTTAGTATACTTTAAAATTCTCACTGCCAGATCACTGATTTATTTTTTGTGTTGCAGCATGTTCATATCCTTAAGTACCATGTGCAACTCCATTATGTGCAACTGTTAAATTTCCTTAGAGGTTTTCATTTCAGTGTTAATTTATTTATGATCATGTTTGTAGGCACAGACAAATTTTTAAAAATCCACTTACAGTTCTTTTGAAACTTTAGTTCTAGCATTTAATTTTGTGAGCTTCAAGGTTTTAATCTCAGTTATTTGGTTATTAAATCTTTTCTGTGACATACAGTAGTCTTTTGTAAGAATGTATTTGTGATGTGTTTCTGGGATTTCCCTTTCCCTGCAGTCTACAGTGCTAGGCTTGTGGCTTCAGTCAAGCTACAGTACCACTAAGGACAGGGTTCTCAAGTCACAGGTGTTTGGCTTCTTGATTGCAAACGCAGTACAGAGCAAAGCTTTCAATGCTTTTTTAAATTACACAGCTCTGATGGTATTAACCAATTGCACAGCAACCAGGGACTGCCTGAGTGCCATGGTACTATGTGGACAGCTGTCTCTCATATGAGGAAACATGTTACAGAAACACCATATTATCCCCAAGGACTGCAGATCTGTTTTTTTTACTATCAGCAATATGTTTCTCAAGCAGCATAGATGTCCTAAAGATTTTGTGAATGTGGACTCTAGTTCCCGGTTAAATGGCTCTTTTTCTTCTTTGTGTATCTTGTCACTTTGAATTTTTATAAATTTCGTGAATAGCTTTTAATTCCAGTTGCTTGTATATGTGTTGGTAGGAAAGCTAAGGCCCTCATAGCATTAAATCTGGCCAGGGATGTCAAGGGCAACAAGAAAAGCTTCTGTAGGTACGGTGTTGATAAAAGGAAGACTAGGGAAGATGTTGGCCCTCTGTGAAAGGAAACAGGAGACTTGATTACCTGTGATATGGAGAAAGCTGAGGTATTCCACAACTTTTTTGCTTCAATCATTATTGGCAAGTGCTCCAGCCACACTGCCCAAGACACAGAAGGCAAAGGCAGGGACTGGGAGAATGAAGAACTGCCCACTGTAGGAGAACATCAGGTTTGATACCATCTAAGGAACCTGAAGGTGCACAAGTCCATGGGACCTGATGAGATATATCCACAGGTCCTGAAGGAACTGGTGGATGAAGTGGCTAAGCCACAATCCATGAGATTTGAGAACTCGTGGCAATCTGGTGAAGTTCTTGCTGACTGGAAAAGGGGAAATGTAACCCCAGTTTTTAAAAGGAGAAAAAAAAATGACCCAGGGAGCTACAGGCCAGTCAGTCTCACCTCTGTGCCTGGCAAGATCATGGAACGGATCCTCCTGGAAACTCTGCTAGGGCATGTGGAAAATAAGGAGGTGATTGGTGACAGCCAACATGGCTTCACTAAGGGCAAATTGTACCTGACAAATTTGGTGGCCTTCTGTGATGGGGTTACAGTGCTGATGGACAAGGGAAGAGCAACGTCATCTACCTGGACCTGTGTAAAGCATTTGACACTGTCTCACATGATATCCTTGTCTCTAAATTGGAGGGACGTGGATTTGATGGTCAGTTGCTAAATGTCCAAGTGGAGAGCAGTGATGAGTGGTGTTCCTCAGGGGTTGATGTTGGGACCAGTGCTGTTTAACATCTTTGTTGGTAACATGGGCAGTGGGATGGAGTGCACCCTCAGCAGGTTTGCTGATGACACCGAGCTGTGTGGTGCGGTGACACGCTGGAGGGAAGGGATGCCATCCCGAGGGACCTGGACAGGCTTGAGTGGTGGGCCTGTGCAAACGTCATGAAGTTTGAGAAGGCCAAGTGCAAGGTCCTGCACGTGGGCTGGGGCAATCCCAAGCACAAATACAGGCTGAGTGATGAGTGGATGGAGAGCAGCCCTGCAGAGAAGGACTTGAAGGGGAGGTATTGGTGAATAAAAAACTGACTATGAGCCATCCATGTGTGCTCACAGCCCAGAAAGCCAACTGTACCCTGGTCTGCATCAAGAGAAGTGTGGCCAGCAGGTTAAGAGAGGGGATTCTGCCCCTCTACTCCGCTCTCATGAGACCCCACCTGCAGTGCTGTGTCCGGCTCTGGGGTCCCCAACATAAGAAGGACATGGACCTGCTTGAGCAGGTCCGGAGGAGGCTGCGAAGATGGTCAGGGGGCTGGAGCACCTCCTTTAGGAGGACAGGCTGGGAGAGTTGGAGTTGTTCAGCCTGGAGAAGAGAAGGCTCTGGGGAGACCTTATGGCAGCCTTCCAGTACTTACAGGGGGCTACAGGAAAGGTGGGGAGGAACTATTTATGAGGGAGTGTAGTGATCGGATGAGGGGTCATGGTTTTAGACTGAAAGAGGGTAGATTTATATTAGGTATAAGGAAGAAATTCTTTACTGTGAGGGTGGTGAGATCCTGCCCAGAGAAGCTGTGGCTGCCCCCTCCCTGGGAGGGTTCAACGCCAGGTTGCACAGGGTTTTGAGCAACCTGGTCTGGTAGAAGGTGTCCCTGCCCATGCCAGGAACCAGATGATTTTTAAAATCCCCTTCAACCCAAAACAAAACATAACAATTTTTTAAAAAAAAAAAAAAAAGGTTTCTTTAGAGAAATATGTAAATACATGTTTTTTGTAAATTGAAATGCAATGCAAATGTTAGCTTTTGGATCCTCTACTCTTCCAAAGTGCAAGGAATAATCTAGTTGTGAAGGCTGAGTTTCTTTTCAGTATTTTTTTGCTGTCAGAGTATTAACTGAGGCCCTGCATTGTCCTGGCATTAAAAAGAAGTTTGCCTGGAAGTCATTTACTTAAATCCCCATAGTCTGTGGATTTGCAATATACCTTATAGTCCTTGGTGCTGCAATATGCCCCCCAGTGTAGCCACTCACTTTGTTGTACCAGCCCCTTTGTAAACTCTCTCACCTACCGGTCATCACAAATTTTGAGAAGCTGTTAGTCTGTGCACTTACTCAAAGCTGTCTGTTTCTCAGGCTGTGTGAGAACAGCATCTCTGATCTCCCCCAGGCAAGCTGTAGTCTAGGTTGAACACACCAAAAGGAGGGTAGGAGGAAAGGTGGAAGTTAAGGAGCATACTTTTCTAATAAAGTCACTCTCTCTTACTTTCAGGTAAAGCTTTCCCCTGGGTTAAAGAAGCTTTTCACAGTAACGGCAGTGAGTGCAATATCAGTTATTTTTCTGGCCCATCACTTTAAAAGAAGACGTGGAAAGAAAAGCAATAAAGTGCCACCATGGGAACCAAGTCACCTAGTATTAGAGTGTACCAAAGCAGCTGCATCAGAAAAAGGTACATGTAAGAACCCCCAAGTTGTTTTGTTTTGGTTTTTTTTTGTTTGTTTTATTGGAGGGGAAGGAAAGGGGTGTGAGCGGATGGGTGTGCATAACAGTGTCTAGTAATAAAACAAACTGTTTTCCTTTAATGCTGAGTAGGTTTGAATTGTTAAAGTAGAAGTTGTGCAAATTAGGAACAAGATTACAGTGTTTTATAAATAAGCTGGTCTTGTTCTCAAAGGTGAAGTATTAATCATGAATTTGGGTTAAAACTTTTTTTATTAATAGTATATTAACAAGGAGATTTACTGTTCTTGTGGACATATCTCAATACTGAGAAAAGCACATTTATTTTTTTATGGGATGGGAAAATAATTGTGCTCAAATGCACAGTTATTGTTATAGATATTGACTGTTCTAATTTGTAGTTTCTCATGTAGAACTGTAAATAAAACAATAGTTGTTGTTTACTTCTAAACTGGATTTTATTGAAAAGAGTACATGCAATGCTTGATAGATCTTGCTAACGAAAGATACAATGTTTTGGGCTTGCAGCAGCTTTAAAATCACCGTATCTCTTAGGTTCTAGTTGTTCCAGTAGTCGGCAAAACTTGACTCTTTCTCTGAGTTCTGCCAAGGAAAAAGGATCTCAGTCTTGTATCTATGCAAATGGAGGACTTTTCAGTAAATACTCTGGTTCAGTTCAAAGCCTGGCTTCGGTAAGTAAAAGTGTTTTAAGGCTCCTGAATGTTTGTTAACTTGCACTGAATATGTACCTAATGGTCTTGCTGAGCTGAAACAACGTTCCTGAACAAGCTGTGCAGAAGGTGATGCTGAGAAGGCATATACCTACTGTATATTAAATGTACGGTATATTTTAATATACCTACTGTATATTAAAAGCAGTTGCCAGACAGATTACTTGGATGTAATATACTCTGGCAGAAATAGTTTTAAGGATACTCTGTATAATATCACTTCAAAATTTGTTTTGGTTTGGTTTGTTTTTTTTTTAAGGTTCAGAGTGCCACCTCTTGTCACAGTTGTGCTTGTGCCAATTCTAATTCGTGGGATAAAGCAGATGAAGATGATATTAAGCTTGTCAATATTCCAGTGACTACACCTGAAAATTTGTATTTGATGGGTAAGTTATAAAAAGAATATTCAGCATCTACCAATAATTAATGTAAATAGTTTATTGTTTTTATGACAAGGTGATAAACAGTATTATTGTGGTGTTCTTTCATAGTGTCCTGTTGGCATGTGTCTAAGAATATTTCCAAAAATAATGAAATCTTACTTGATCTAGAGGTATTTTTTCAAAATACTTTTTTTTTTTTTTATTTCTAATAAAATAATATTCTACTGTTATTTGTAATAGTAACCCATAACATTATTTTTAAAAGTAAGTAGGAAAAATACATTGAAATTTGTTGCTTTAATCATATTGTGATCTTCCTTATCTTATTAAAAAGGCAGATATCTTTTTTTTTTTTTTTTTTTAGACTGGGAACTCCTGTTGTTTTAGAAACTTGTATCTCTGCTATGATCATGCTTTATTAGCTACGTAGTTTCCTGCAACTCTAAAATGTGAATATATGTGGAAGCTGTGTGTTTGATGGAATGGAGGTATTCCTGGTCTCCCCTAGGTATGGAGCTTTTCGAAGAAGCGCTGCGTCGATGGGAGCAGGCACTAACTTTCCGTAACAGGCAAGTTGAAGATGAAGCAAGTTGTGGTTCCATTAAGCTGGGAGCAGGAGACGCGATTGCAGAAGAAAGTGTAGAAGTGAGTATATTCACTTTGTAATCTACTGTTGCTGCCCTGACAATTTGTTGTGTTTTGTTACCTGAATCTTTGCAACTTCTAATTCGATTACCAAAACTGAGAATTAATTCAAATTTCCAATTTAGTGGTATTGCATTTAAAGGCCATCTAACTTTGTTCTATTTGATTTTTTTTTTGTTGGTTTTTTTTTTTTTTTGGTTGGTTATTTGGAGGAGGGGGAGAGGGAATTAGAATTATTTATTTTTTGGCAATTGCTATTGCATCGGTCTTTGCTTCCGCACGGTATTATCAAGCTACCAAGCAAACATACTAGTTCTCTGCACAAAATCCCTTGGGTCATCCCTTTCTTTTATGACTATGTAAGAGGACATCTGCTCAGCTAAGATAAAGGTCTTGGGAAAGATGATCAATTTATGAATATTCATAATGTGCTTGAATTTTATTTGTATTCCTTTGTTCTGATTAACTAGATTTTGAAATAAACATACACCTGTGTGGCTTTCATCATTTCTAGTGAACATCACAGATAACTTCAAAGTGGTTTACAATTCAGTTTTTATTTTTATGGCACTAAAGAATATATGTGCATGTATTTTGGATGTTGAAGTATTTATCTGACAGTGTCCTTGTGTGGTTTGTAGGAAATTAATGTGGCACAGTTTGCTCTTTGAAGGCTTAGATTTTACAAAGGAATCTTACAGACTGTGAGCAAATAGAAAATCTGATGTCTATCTTCTTGCAGGATATCATTAGTGCTGAATTCATTCATAAGCTTGAATCCCTTCTTCAAAGAGCTTATCGTCTTCAGGAGGAGTTTGAAGCCACCCTTGGGGCCTCTGATCCTGCTTCTCTAGCTAATGATGTTGGTGAGTACTAATATTTTACATTTTTATTGCTTGTAATAATGACTCTTGGGGAGGAAGTCACTGAAATATCCACTGAGCAGAAATATATCTATCAGTAAATAAACAGGAAAAAAAATCAGGTTCTTTACATTAAATAATGTTTGATTTAGTGCTGGTATTTTAGATAAGAATGGATTGAGAAGACATTTTTTTCTCTGTGGCTTGTCAGTATACTTGAGAATTTTCATAATACTTCTTAATTTTCTGAAGTTTATGTTGACTTGGGTATTTAAATATTTATGCAGTAAGAATAAATGACCCTTTTTATAGCATGAGTGTATTAGAGCATTTCAAAAGAAGTTTCATATGTCTTTTGAACTGTTGAACTGTGTATGCATGTACTTTTTTTTTTTTTTTTTTTTTAGGTTTGTCATAATTTTTTACAAAAAAACAAAACCAAACCAGAAAGTCTTAGTCTGAAACAGATATTCATTACCAAAGCTCTTATTCATGGTGATGGCAATTTGTCACAGTTATGAATGACTAAAACCAGGATGTTAAAATGGTGAATATAATGAATAGCTGCTGCCAAACATGCTGATTAAGTACAGATAGTCTGACTATTTAAAGAATTGGTTTAACATAATCGTATCAGTCTTTAAGGACATGTTCTTTTATAATTCAAGATCAAGCATCTCATTTCAAATAACTGTTAGACTTTAAAGGGAGCACATGTTCTGGAATTAGTTGTATTCAGTAGTCTTGTTTGTTAGGCTTGACTGGCACTAGGTGGCAGTACTCTCATCTCTTAGCCCTGGTGTTATGCTGCAACTACTAAATACAGCTCTGAGTAAGGTGGGAATTAAATTTAGTCAGAGTTGGCTTTCTGACATATCTATGTACACCTGTTAATGTAATTCTTAAAGCAGAAAGTGTTTGCATGTTTTGCTTTGGTGTCTGAAGCCATAAGCCCTAAATAAAGTTGCATTGTATATTCATTATTAAATTACAAGTTTATTTGTAATTTCTGTCTTCAGGCCAAAATAATAAAATGGTATTCAAACGACTAAATGTGATGTTTAATGTGTTTAGTTATTGTTATGCTTGGTTAACCTGAAAGTATTTTAAATTTATATTTTGTTTTTTAAGATGTGATAACTAGATTATTGTTTATCACAAATGTTCTGAGACTTTAATTCCTGTCAAATGTTCTTTGTAGAAATAATTTGTGATCTCTTGAGTAGATGTCTGTTACTTTATTATGAATTTTATTTGTGCTGGCCCAGATGAGTGAGGAAAACAAGTAAGGAATAGTTTTAGTGAGTAGCATTTTCACTGTTTGGGATTTGGGGCTTTTTCATCACTGTCTTGAATTTCTGGCTTGAACAGCAAGTAATAAATGCTTCACTTTTTCAGAATGTTTTAGAACAAAACCAGAACATCATCATCTGCTTCCAAGCACCACGGTGCTTGGAAGATTTAATAAAGAGGAAGATAATGTTCAATATTCAATATAAAAACATTTCATCACTGAAAATTTGGTAGATAATTTAATGACCTGTAGGATATGATACTGAGTGTAGCGTGTGAATATTTGAAGTAGGATGTTTTTGAGAGTGACAGTTTTTTGGTAACTTTCATAGGAGAGACAGAAAAGTATGTTTGGGAGAATCCTAGAGGCTCTCTTATGGGCTTATTACCCTTCTCTCCCCTGCCCACCCTCCCCCTCCCCCCCCCCCTTTTTACTTTTTTTTATTTTTTTTATTTGATAATCTAGTGAAAGTAAATGAAAGCTAGTGTCAACAGATTTTATTTTACTACCCAAAAATATACATGTTAACAAGTAATACTTACTTTGTTTCAATTCTATACAAAGCTTTGTATTACTCTTTTAGGAAGTGTGCTAGTATAAATATTGATCACTTGTTTTCCTTTTTGTATGTGTGCGCACACGTGCACGTATTAACAACAACAGGAATGGAAGGGTTCAAGAGCCACAAGAATAAGCAAGTCCAAGAAAATTATGAAATCCCTGTGGCCAAAAGAAGTAAAAGTAGTACAGCATTCTTCACACTACTAAGAATAAGAATAATATCCTACTGCAAAATACAAATGACGGTTCTGAACAGAAACAGAAATGTAGGTGCCTCTTCTCTGTAGGAACGTATGTAATTTGTGTCAAAAGAGGCAGCATCTGCTAAATCAGAATCAGTAGTCCTGGACAATTTATATCCAAAACTTCTTAAAATAAGCTAGATAAAGAAAGGACCCTAATCCATCATTTACTGTTCACTAATCTTGGAAAGTGGAAAATGTTCCAAATGATTGGGAAATTGCCAATTTAATTCCAAATCTTAAAAAACAAACCACTCCAAAACTCCAACACCCAAGTTAAGCAGCATGCTTGTGAAATAGAGTTGCTAATTTGCAGTTCTTCTACTTTTTATTATGCTGTCTGTGGTATCATTAGTGCCAGCTGGTACAGTTTTATCATAGGTAGTTTTTTGTGGACTGTAGGTTTCTGAGAGATCTGCAATTTGGGGGATTCATATAGTATACATTAGATGACAGTAATTAGCTCACTGACATGAACATTTGTTTATACTTCTGTCTACTGTTAAGGGAAGGGTTTGCTTTTTAGAGAACATGTTTGGTCGAACACAGTGATTTTATCAACTATGAAGGTGATAAAGTCATTTGTAGAGCTGGAAGTTGATAAAAAAGATGATCATTTAAGATGTTAAAAGCACTGAATTCATGAAAAGGAAAGGTTGGTAATACTGATCTGAATTACTTGTTTAAATGGTTACAGTCTAACAAATGACAATTGAATCTAGGCAAATATGGATTGTAGATATAGATGAAAGATTTTAAAAGGAAAATAATAAAGAAATACTCTTGGAATGCATTAGGAAAATTATGCATCAAAGTCAGTGTAAGTTCTCAGCACAGTGCCATAGAAAAAAAGACCATTGCTAATCTTTGGCTATGTGAAAAGGACAGCATCAGCATAGAGGCAGAGATACGATCTTGTTTTTCTATGTTTTTAGAATACTGTGTCCAGTTCTGTTCATATTTCAGAAGATATGGAAACACCAGACAGCTCAAAACAAGCCATAAAAATGATCCATGTTTTGGAAAAACAAGCTAATACTTGGTTTAAGTTGCATATGTCCAGCTCTTTATTGAAGAAAATACTGAGAGGTTACTTACTTGTTCTGAATAGCTACTTACACATGGAAAAGGTATGTGCTGCTGGGGGTTTTGTAGACCTTGTTGTCAAAGACATAACTAGATCCAGTTTCTAGTTGTTCAAGTGAAACAAGGTCTGAAGTAAGTAGCCTCTGAAGCGTATTGAGGGTATTTCAGTGTTTTAGACAAATATTTTTATTTTTTAATGCTGTTTTGAGGGATGTTTTTATTCCTCTCTGAGAGGAAGAGATGGACTTGGGGTAAATGGTCATTGTGGTCTTTCTGGCATTTAAGCATTTCCTCTTACTACTGCTATTTTTTCTTCTTTTCTGGGCCCTGTAGTGAACAAGAAAAAGCCTTTGTTGTCCTCACTAGGGTCATAACACTTGTATCTTGTTGCTAGAATGCTTATAACCAGCTCTTATGCTTCAGGGTTTCAACTGTTGACCCACAACAGTAGCCAGAAAATATTTCGATTTGTTTCACACATGATGATTAAATATAGTTTGTGGATTTTTCTTCCATTTTCTTAATCTGAAGCACTTGTGAGTAGCCACAGCTGGAGACAGGGTTCTGACAGTTGGACAAATGCTATCAAGTGTCATCAAAAGATTTGCTACACAGCTGTCTGACTAGCACTTCTTATTCAGAAACCCTGAGTTGTTACAAGCTCCAAATTTGCTCAGGAAGTAAACTTTCAAAGGTAAAAATTTCCATCAATTTCTGGTTTTCAGCTTTCTCTGTAAAATCTCATGTCGAACTCCTGGGGCTGCTGAAACCATGCTCTCTCCTACTTGTCTATTAGTCACAGATGTTGCTCCTTTCCAAAACCTTTCAATGTAACTTTTCCCAGGTCATCATTTCCTTCTCCTTAATCAAATTAAGATCTTAGTGCTGCCATTGATCAATCATACCACAGATTTGCTTTATATTTTGTGATCCCACTTACTAGTTGAAGTTGGTTGGCATGATAAACAATTTGCCAGCCAGTTTTGAGAAACAGTCTTCTGAAGGAGTGTACAGGAACATGCTATGTGGGAGGCCCTGCTGGAATAGAATAGCTGGTCACTGCAACCACGTCTTTCATGATGTGGCCTAAAGTGCTTCTGTTATGACATGTAAACAGTAACTTGTCAGACCTGGTAATCATCACTTGAAGTGGTTGCATGATGTGGTTTAATTGCCTTTCGATTCTTCTTGTGTAAATTGGCACCTCAAAATGCCTTTTTTTTTTTTTCCTAGTTATATGTAAGTTAAATATTTTATCTTCCAGATATTTCTAAATATTTAACTTATAGCAGTGCAGAAGATATAGGTATAAATAAATACCTTTTCTCCTTGTGGGTAGAATTCTATAAATAATAATAATTGCAAATAATAATTTTCAACTCTGTAAGCTATTGTTGAGTTATAAACAACAAAATACAGCCCTGGAAAAGACTTGCATTTTGTATAGATGAAATAATGGAACACAATGATGTTCATTTTTGTTGTATTCTCCACTGGACTTTCAGAATCATCCATCATATAAACCAGCAATCTAAAATAGGATTTATATAGCAGAAATATTTCTGGACATGAAATTAAAACAAATATGCAGGGCTAAACTGCTGTTGTTTTTATGCTGATCCTCTTAGGACTGTGAAACAAAATGGGAAGCCTAGAAACAGGCTTTTCTGAGGCACAGATTAGCTGCACTGAATCAGGAAGGAGGAAGCAATTGAATATTTTATTTCGCATTTTTCTGCCATCTTGTTATTTCCAAGTGGTGAATGTGAGGGGGTGGAGGGTTTTAAAAGCTTCCAGTACTTTCTGTAATCTGTCCTTGATGAAAGTTGTTTGTTTTTTGTTTTTTTGGGGTTGTTTTTTTTTCTCTTTCTTTTTAGATCTTTTCTAGCAGACTCAAATGTTAGTTGAGCTAACTTGGGAGGAATGCAAAGAGTTAGGAGAGAAACAATAGCTTTACTTATGAGCAGAATTGCAGGTCAGAGGGGAAAATTCTCAAATTGTAGGGCTCCTTGTCAGTACTGAATTCCTAATACTTCACATTATTATTTTGATTCGTACTGTAAAAAGAAATGCTGGCACCCAAACTAATGGTGACTTGTGTACACTGGCCCTTAAACTTTTTGATAATAATATTAAAAAATATTAATTGATTACATTTTAAAAATATTTACATTTTATTTTATATTAATTATACAATTTAAAATTAATTGTTTGAGCTACTGAAGTAGAAGATCTCTCAAAAAGGTCAGTGTTGTTGGATGGTTTTGTTGGAAGATTTGTCTGTTTCTTTTTTTAATTTTCTTCTCACACTCAAAGATATGCCTGGCATTTTGGAGAGAATAAGCGCAGCCTTTAACCTAGTGACAAAACTCTTTGGAGAACATATTTACATATTAGAAACCTTTTCTCCAGCTGCTCTTTAAACAAATAAAAAAACCTCTTTGCATAATCAAGGAAGGTGTTGAAAGCTTATTTTTATATATTTTATTAACAAAGACTTCTATAATGTTGTAATGTTCATGGGTGAATATCTACAGCCTATACTTTCCTTCCTGCCTCTGAAATGTTAATGGAAAAATTTTGGTTTGAGAATATTATGTTTTATTTGGTTATGGACAAGAAATGTTTCTGTTTATAATTCTCAGACTCCAATGAGGAGGTGGGCAGTTTGTAATAATTAATTTAGGAGGCTCTAGTAGTACATACTATAACTTTTTATGATGGCTTGAAAATGTTTCCTTGCTTTGTGTTCCTTGAACGTAAATTTACATTAAATTATTTCTTCATTTCTTGGAGAAGGACAAAACATTTTTCTAGTGGCTGAAACAGAATTGAAATCAAAACAAAAGAAAATAGTAGCTTTTTCTTTAAGTGTGGAAATATATTCATCCCAATAAATGCTCTTGTAAAGGAAAGAAAACAATATTACTAAGTCTGAGGAAAAGCCCAGAAAAGTTAATCCAATCCTATTAAAAAAAAAAAAAAAAAAGGCGCATAATTTGAACATAATTTAACTCCTTACAGTTTGTGTAAGTTCAGTAACCGCTGAAGCTTACTGCGTTTTACTGTGAGGTCTCTTGTATTGCAACTTATTGCTGCAACTCCTTATTTCTCATTCACAGTAGATACTCAAAAGGCAGATGTTTGAATTGAATAGCATGTCTTCTGCTATCAATAATATTTAAGACTTTCACTTAAAGGCATACTTGTCCAATATTAATAATGCTTCCTTTCTAAATCACCTTCAGCAAAATTCTTTACCAGAAAGTACCTAAGCACAATGTTGAATAGTAGAGTAAGACTGGTGGTTAAAAGGTCAACTTAAAACTTTAAACAAAAGTATTTCTGCAAATGTTGTGTCTATGAAAAGATTATAATGCTTGGCTTTCTCAGTGATAATTATGGCAATACTATACTAAAACCTCAAAATAGCTTTGCATGTATCTGCAGTGAAATTACTGGTACTGAAAAAAAATTGGAGAACTCAAGGTCAATTATTGTATATTAGTTTGGGGGGTGATATGGGTAGAAATTTCCAAAACCACTTCTAGTAAGATCAGAAAGTGTCCATTTCTGATTTTTGAGGAGCCTTGTTACCATTTGCCCAACAGCTTTGCTCTTAGATCCAACCGTGAAGGCTATTTATACACCTTGTTGCTTTTCCTTAAATGGCATCCCTGAAACCTGTCTTCTTTCTGTCCACACCAAAACTCTTATTTAAGCCCTTGTCTCTCTCACTTCTTGACTCCCGATGTGTTCTCCTGTCTTGCCTTGTCCATTTAAAACTTGCTGCTCTCACATGGACTTCACTGTTGTTTATAAAGATCACCTTTGCTCATTTTTCTGACCAGA